TTGTAGCTCCAATTGTTTCAACGGTTCAGCAAATCTGGAATTACTAGGATTATAATGGACTTTGTATTCCACTTTAGAGTCAGGATTTGTATCCACACCCGATATATCAGAATAAATATTTTACCCTATATTAAAATTTGGATGGTCAATCCTTGGATTTGCATTCTCCCCCATATCCAATATGTCACTCCATACATTGTCATTGTCATATCTAGGAACAATTTTTGACTGGGTAATAAATATATCCTCTCCACTGGAAGACATGACTGTATTGATATCCTTTTTTTGTTTGTATTAATTGTTAACAAATCACTCGGTGGCAGTCACATGACTGCGGTGTTGGTTTAAGTAACTGTCCATTATTTCTGAGGTGTTACAAGACACTATTGTTTTAAGATGTCTATTATTTTAGACAAAGAGTGGCTATGGGTTAAGTTAGATAATAGCCTCAGACTGTCCATTATGTAAATACAAAGAAAAACATCGGGGCTAACGCCCCTCGGTTGTTCTTTCTATTTACATAATGGACAGTTTTCGGCCATTATCCATTACATAGCGTTAAATCACACGTACTTATTGAACGTGAATATATAGTTATACATAAAAAACAGTGATATTTTGGTTAAATCATAATCATTGTCAAAATATCCATCAAATTCTGGCTGTTTATTGAACTATGGTTGGTAGGCCAAAATAGGTAATGTCTCCTATCTTAGTTGTGGGAAATAAAGAAGTTTATTCCATATATGGGTTGGAAATTAACGTCAAGGTTATCGAAGACATGCAGAAATTAGGGGGTATAAATTAGGGGTAGAAGCGAGTTGGATCAGAACTCATTAAGAAATTCCTAGCAGCCATTATTATTGAGAACGAAGAACCCGCAAAGCCATTATAGCTTAGCAATAAAATTGTGAAACTAGTTTATGCTGTAGTCCTGTTACGATCACCAAGAAATAAGCACAAGTAAGAAATCCTATAGTACTACAACTGCTGTGATGCATCCTCCTCTCCCTGGACCACGATTTTGGAACACCACAGGACCCAGTTTCTGATTCAGGCCAATGCTTAGACCTCCCCATGAGTATCGTTCAATGCCGCATTGATCAGAATAACGCTGGCCACGTTGACGCCATATTCTGGCCCCGCCATCTGCAGTTGATACGCAATACCGACTCTCATCTGTGAACAGAACAGTTCTCCATTGCCTGTGTCGCCAGTTCTGGTACTGTTGGGCAAACTGTAAATTTTCACGTCGATGGCAATGGGTGAGGATTGGTCCACGGTAAGGTCTACGGCAGTGGATGTTCTCTCTGGTGAGACGTCGGCGCACTGCAACGGTACTGATGGGACTTCCGTGTGTTCCCACTGTCTGACGTGCTTTCTCAGATGCCTGTGTGAAGGTATTCTGCACGTGCTATCGCACAACATGGCGGTCTTGTCGCCTTGTGGTAACCCTTGGTCTACCAGTTTGGGGGCGATTGTCCGTGGTGTTGGTGACCCGAAAGCGTTGCTGGAACCTGTAGATGGTCCGAACATTGACCTGGGCAATATGGCCAGCGTCGAGTTTTCCAAACGCCTGGTTCCTTTGAGAAACATTACCATCTCAGAAGTCAGGTTGCATATTCTCTGTCAGATAGAATCAAAGTTACCTTTTCCCAAAGCATCGACCAAAGAAATTGCTTAGCTCTGTTTAGCTTTAGCTCGAAATGTTAATCATTGAACTCAGTCAAGACAATCCACTTAATGAACATCTACATCTAAGTTTAAACATTCTATTTCAATTTAAAGCAGAGTCGTTATGTTCCAAAGTATTGACCAATCAAATTGCTTATCTCTCCTTAGCCTAAGCAGAAAATCCTCACCATCGAACTTAGTCAAGGTAATGATAGAATAAATCTATACTCAGGATTTCATCACTCTCACTTAATTATAACCAAAGTTATCGTGCCCCAAAGCATCAACCAATCAGATTGCTTATCTCTGCTAACCGTAAGCAGAGGATGTTTATCATCGAACTAGATCAAGGCATTCGCCTAATCTCATGAACACCTACACCAAGTTTGAGTATTCTACCTCAATTAGAAGGAGAGTGACTGTGTTCCAAAGCCTCGGCCAATGAAATTGCTTATTGCTCTGCTTTCCCTGAGCAGAAAGTGCTCATTATCGAACTTAGTCAAGGTATTGATGTGATAAAACTATGCACCAAGTGTCGTCACTCACTAAATTAGAACTAAAGTTATCGTGCCCCAAAGCATAAACCAATCAAATTGCTTATCACTGCTTACCCTAAGCCGAAAATTCTCATCTTTGAACTCCATCAAGGCATTCACCTAATAAACACCTACGCCAAGTGTGAACTTTCTAGCTCAATTAGAATGAGAGTTATTGTGTTCCAAAGTCTTGGCCAATCAAATTGCTTATCGCTCTGCTTACCCTGAGCAGAAAATGCTCATTATCGAACCTATTCAAGGTATTGATGTAATAAAACTATACACCAAATTTCATCACTCTCACTTAATTAGAACTAAATTTATCGTGTTACAAAGCATAAACCAATCAAATTGCTTATCTCTGCTTACCCTACGCAAAAAAAGCTCATCTTCGAACTCCATCAAGACATTGACCTAATAAACACCTACACCAAGTTTGGACATTCTAGCTCAATCAGAAGGAGAGTTATTGTGTTGCAAAATGTGTGACGGACAGACGGGCGAACCCATTTTAATAGTCACCTGCTTTCTTCGAAAGGCGGGGACAATTATAACCCAGGTTCGGATACATACAGTCTATTAAAATACAGATCTCAATGTGCTCCGATATCTGCTGAAAAATACATCTAAAAAGGACACGCTAACAATTAACTTTGTGTCACACAATGCCATCAACGGATACCTTGTTTCAACTCCAGTCAATTCGGAATGCTCATGCGGGTGTATCTTATTTAATCACCTTGAAAGGAATCGCTAGTAATTAGAATTGCCATTTTTAAGTGGTTTATCTTTATATTTATTACAGAAAGCTATCAGCTAATAATTGTGTAGCCTAAGTAGGGTTTCCATAATCATAAGCTTCCGTTATTTTCTGGTCCTATTTCTAATTCTCCCCATGCTTCGAGATCGATTCCCTTTATCATTATTTCTAGTTATTTGATTCATAATATTCACGTAATGTAGATTTATTTATCTAATTCGTCAATATTTGTTTAATGTGTTTGGTGTACAGTCCCTTTAATCCTTTTACACTAATGTTTTCGCCGCGATAGCGGCTCTTCAGGCATTTAGATGGCAAAATAAAACTATGCTAACGATTTTTTTTTACACTATTTGCGTACAAGGAGCGGCCATTATGTCCGTCAGTTTTTTGTCCGATTTTCACGAAATTCGAACTCATCCATCATTAGTGTATAACGCTTCTTTTATTAAGCTCAAAATGAGATTTTTCGTACAATCAAGGGACATAATTCAGGAAGTTACCATCCAATATGAGCGAATATCGAAAGGAACCAAGATCCTTTGGTTATTAACATGCATTTCACGGTTTATCAAAATCGGATCAAAATTTTGACCTCTAGGTCCACAACCTTGATATACCATATGTTTACACTATTTGCGCAGAAGGGGCGCGGCCATTTTGTCTGACAGTTTTGGTCCGATTTTCACGAAATTCGAACTCAACCATCATTAGGGTGTAACAGTGTTATACTAAAACGTGTTGGGTTTTTTTAATAGGATAAAAATTGTGACCTCTAGAGGGACCACAAATTAAAAGCGCAAGTTTTCGTAATATCAGGGGCCATAATTCAGGACGTTACGATCCGATATGCGCAAATATCGAAAGGAACCAAGATCTTTGTGATTTAAACATGCATTCCAAATGTCATCAAAATCGAATGAAAATTGTGACCTCTAGAGGGTACACAACCTTCATATGCCATATTTTACACTATTTGCGTACAGTGGGCGGTCATTTTGCCCGGCAGTTTTGGTCCGATTTTCCCGAAATTCGAACTCGGACGTCATTAGGGTGTAACGGTGATATATTAAAACGCCTTTAAATTAATCGGATAAAAATTGTGACCTCTAGAGGGACCACAAGCTAAAAGTGTGATTTTTCGTAAAATCAGGGGCCATAATTCAGGAAGTTACGATCCGATATGCGCGAATATCGAAAGGAACCAATATCTTTGGGATATAAACATGCATTCCAAGTTTCATCAAAATCGGATAAAAATTGTGACCTCTCGAGGGTCCACAACCTTGATATACCATATTTTACACTATTTGTGTACAAGCGGCGGCCATTGATATGCCATAAAATATATTTATTGAGCTTCGATATGTATTTCTTTTGTTATATAAATGAATTACTATACCGATATAAAAACAAACAACAGGGAAATAACCTTTGAGAATCAAACTGTTCAACTAAAATCCATGGTGTGTTAAAAGATTTTATTTACTTTAAAAAAAATTACTTATTTAACATACATTGATGATTTTTGAATTGGGTAATTAATTGTTTTTGTTGTGTTTTCTGCTAAATGGTTTCTGTATTATATCTTTCATCTTGTTAATCAATTTGTTGTTATTGGTGTATCTGCTAAATGGCTTCAAAAGTGGTTATCTCTATATATTGCACTACGTTAATTAATCATTATTTGCTTGATAACGATACCTGTATGAGTATTGAAACGTAGCATGTTAATAAAATTCAGAAGTAGTATATCCATATTAGTGTGCTTTTTTAATAACTAACATTTTCCAGAAGATCATGCAAATTTTCCCTTATTTATGGTTTCGATGTTACAAAGCAAGTCTTGTGAAAGATATCAGATCTGTTAAAATTAAATATCCAAAACGTATCCTGTTGTTTTGAATTTACTGTTTGGAAGCAATAGTTGTTCAACCGATATCTCTCTCGCCAACAGTAATGTTGAATTTGATTGGTTATCTATCGACCACTACCAATGACATAATATATTACAATATATTAACCTAATTCGATATTCAGTAAGGTGTTAGCAGTAATTCGTGTATTGGGAAATATTAAAAGAAATTGTTAAGGTAAGATTTAGGATAGCACTGGCCGGCTTATGTATTGCGCTAGCACGCTGATTACAAGGTCACCTCTGTTATTGACAGTCAGAAGGCTTTACATAACCATTCAATAAGAAGCGACTGAATTTCATAGAGGTGTAATGGCCTATCGCTCTGGTTGATAAGAAACTGGCAATGCCAATACGATAGTGTTATCTCAGTCAGATATGTATAGTATATACATACTAGCTGTATGGGTCTTCCCTTTATTGGCTGTAGGTTAACGTTGGATATTGATCTGTTCTATAAATGATGTTTAGTAGCTAAAAGCTTTGGATTCATATTATTAATTGAGATATACGGTAATCTGGCGCTACATATGTTTTAATTATAAATCTTGTGTTGCCAACACGCAGTGTTATAGTAAATTACTCCTTCGGGAACACTAGTATAATAGGCAGCATAGGTAACCCATTCGCCGTCGTCATTTTATATATAGTTGATCGAAAGCGTGCAATTTCTTAGAAAGGAATTCGCCACGCGGAACGCATTCTAAATAAAATGACTGAGTTTTGTTATGAAAGACACAGCGACCAGATCTTATATTTACAGTAATTTCCCACCCACTAAATATTAAACATACATTATGCAAGAGCAGGAGCGTAAATGTGTGTGGGGCCCCCCCCAGGAAAAAAAATAGTCGGTCGCAAAATCAGTGCAGTCGGTCGCAAAATAAGAGCAGTCGGTATCAAAATAAGTGCTCACTGCACACGTCACGCTACTCACTCAAAACTGTGAGTATGTAGGTCTAAGAACAAAATTTCCCCCAGGGAGAAAAATAGTCGGTCTCAAAATAAGTGCAGTCACTGCAGTCGGTCTCAAAATTATGCATCGCCGTCTTAATGAATAAATGAGGTAAACAAATAATGCCAGAATAGATCCCAAATACTAGTCGGTCGCAAAATCAGTGCAGTCGGTCGTAAGATTTGAGCAGTCGGTATCAAAATAAGTGCTCACTGCACACGTCACGCTACTCACGCAAAACTTTAGTATAAAATAACCTTGTCAACTTATCATGTTTGAAAAAAATGTTTTTCACCCCATGGCAAAAAAATATTCGGTCTCAAAAAAAAAGTTCTCACCGCAGTCGGTCTCAGACTAAATGAATTAATGGGGTGTTTTCTGACCACCAGAGTTCTGCAAAATCTCTCCCCAAAGTCCAGGGCATTTCAGAGACCAAGTAAGTGCCCAATTGAGGTAAAGTGCCCTCAGGCCCAGTCCTCAAAAATTAAAAGCTCAGTTACATATCTGCGCTCAGTTCCATTATGCCATCATTCTTCAACTCCTTCTCTGTCTTATACTATCTCATCACTATCATATTCACAGTTACAGTGAATTGCCCAGTTAGTGGTACCACTAGTGAGTGAGTCGTGGGTCAAAAGACTGTAGAATTGTTAGTTCTACTCTCACAACACAGGCGACATTGACAGATAGGCCTCAAGATTCTGTCCCATTTCTTATCCTCTCATTAACGAGGATCCATTTGCCATGACTTTGACTAAAATTGTCAGGCCCAGTCCCAAAAATTAAAAGCTCGGTTACACATCTGAAATTTTTTCGAGCCTGCGGCGCTCGATTCCATTATAACATCATTCTTCCACTCCTCTGTTGTCTTATACTGTCTCAGCACTATCATATTCACGGTTATAGTGAACTGCACAGTTATATTAGTAGTACCACTGGTATGTGGGTCGTGGGGCGTCAGGCTATACAAAAGTTCTGTCAACTCTTGCAAAACAGGCGGAATTGACAGGGGCAGATCTCGAGATTTTGTCTAATTGATTCACATTTCTGGTCCTCTCGTCCACAAGAATTTCTCCCAGCAATGACCTCAAATGCCAAGATATGGACTCAATTTTTCAAAATTTTCTCAGGTTGCTCAGTGTTATAGGCACAATCATATATGACATAAACTTTATGTCAACTTTAATAAAACTGCTTTCCGGCGAGACAACGATCGGCAAACAACTATATAATTATACAATATCATCTATGTTCTACCGGGACACTTAATGTTATAGCCAGTATTTTGTTGACATTCATTGTGGGGTGGGATTGTGGCTAGGGTGGCGCCCTAGATTTGCCCCCCACCCCTATCTAGATCCGCTACTGCACATGGCCCCTACAAAACTCGCACCTGTGGTGCTCGGCTCCTGACTGCGTCACTCGTACTAGGGGTATTGGAATCAGTCGGTCGCATTTTGGCTAAACACCCCCCCCCCCCCAAACAAAATCGTTATGTACGCCCCTGTGCAAGAGCTAAATCTGATTATTGCAAGTCTTTATTTAGGCTTCAGATGTCACAGAAATTATAAATTAGATCTTTATTTACACAACAAGCACAAAATCAACTCTGCAGACCCACGGATGACTTGGAATCGGCTTGGATTTAAACAGGATTTCATTGATTGATTCAATTTTTAAATGGCGTCGCAAGCGGAGATTAACCGTTACGTTGACGTCATACTCCCGGAAATTTTAGATCGAGGCCGCTGTTGAGCGAGGCCGCATGTCAGTCAATTTGAATTTGATTAAAAGTTCGATATATATACGGTCTTGATATTATGTTTAGTTGTGGTTAAAATAAGAGTTTGGATGTAGGTATTATACGCTCTTTTGTCACTGGCGTTTACAGAAAAATTATGGAAATTGATAAACATCGCAGCTAACATCACCCCAGTTGAATTACAGCCCCATTGGATCACTGTTTCCTATTTGTCTGCTTCGGGAGTTAGTAGGCCTACCAGTTACAGCACAAGAGTACACGCAGGCTAACAAGAAGTCGGCTATAATTATGCCTCATTGATTTGGTCCATTCCTTTCAAACTTTCGCTTCTTATCTATATATTAAAAGTCTTATTTTTAATTTGTAGTAAAAATAAATGTGATACGAATTGAATTGCAAACCCGTCTCAAACCGAATAGGCTAACGGTACCACAGCCATTGAAAACGTTACTTGATAATTGATATTATGTAGGCGGAGTTAACGCCTGTCAATCAAACGATCGGCCATTCTCGGAAACGGTGAAGAGAGAGGTGACTCCTATTTCGAGTCAAAAATTACAATGGTGATAACTTTGTTCAGAATAAAGTAATTTGACTGAAATTTTCAATATATTCTTCTTTCATCATCTATTTTTGGACTGTTATAGCAAGAATGGCTAACCCTCGATTAAAATCTCCCATAATACATCTTTAACAGATAAAATTAAAACAGGCCAGAAGACAAAGAATTGCAATCAAACAAATATGAGTACTTTAAAGTATATTGGATCTTATACATAATTGACAAAGCTTAAGAAATTAGTAACTTATATTGTATCTGAATGTTAGAGAGAGAGAACTAATATATTTCGCGACTAATATATGGTTTAATTTTATATCAATATTTCGCTTGCGTGTAGGGTCTTTAGCAGTGGGAGGAAACCGGTAGACCCGGAGAAAACACACGAGGCGACCCTACTCGTATCTAAATGTTTTTGAAACCTGAGATAATTATGTTTCTTATTCAACACTTCTTATTATAAATTTCATATCATCCACTGCACATATAACTTTGTCATCTGAACGCAAATAAACCAATTTAAAAGACCCAGCTTGCAACCTGTCTGCGAGATGGCTTTTTATTATACGCCCATATTTTCATGTGGACGTATATTGTCGTCGCCCTGTCCGTCCGGACGTCCAGAATTGTTTGTGGACACTGAACAGGTCACAATTTTTATCCGATTTCAACGGTTTATCTCCCTAAGATCTCGGTTCCTTTCGATATTGTCTTGTATCGGACCTTAACTTCAAGGATTATGGCCCCCGATTGTACGAAAAATCACGTTTTTAGATTGTGGACCCTATAGAGGTCAAATTTTTTATCCGATTTTGTTGAAACTTGAAATGTAAGTTTATAACCCAAAGATCTCGGTTCCTTTCGATATTCGCGCATATCGGACCGTCACTTCCGGAATTATGGCCCCTGATTGTACGAAAAATCGCGTTTTTAGCTTGTGGAACCTATAGAGGTCATAATTTTTATCCGATTTAAAACACCGTTTTAGTATATCACCGTTACACCCTAAGGATGGTTGAGTTCGTTAGTATATCACCGTTACACCCTAAGGTTGGTTGAGTTCGAATTTCGTGAAAATCGGTCCAAAACTGACAGACAAAATGGCCGCCTCTCGTTCGCAAATAGCGTAAAAATATGGTTTATCAAGGTTGTGGGCCCTTTAGAGGTCACAATTTTCTTCTTATTTTGATGAAACGTGAAATGTAAGTTTATAACCCACAGATCTTGGTTTCTTTCGATATTCGCGCATATCGGACCGTAACTTCCGGAATTATGGCCCCTGGTTGTACGAAAAATCACGTTTCTAGCTTGTGGACCCTATAGCGGTCATAATTTTTATGTTTTTAGCTTGCCGTCCTTGTAGAGGTCACAATTTTTATCCGATTTAAAAAAAACATGTGAATATATCACAATTACACACTAAGATCTTGGTTACTTTTGATAATCGCGTATATCCGAACGTAACTTCCTGGATTATGGCTCCTGATTCTCTAGAGGTTACAATTTGTTTTTCCGATTTTAAAAACCGTTTAAATATTTCACCATTCCACTATAATGAAGGTTGAATTCGAATTTCGGGAAAGTCGAAATGAAACTAACCGACAAAATGGCCGCTCTTTGTACGCAAATTGTGTAAAAGTATGAAATACGAAGGTTGTGGACCCTTCTAGAGGTCACAATTTTTATCCGATTCTGATGAAACTTAAAACATATCTTTATATCCCAAAGATCTCAGCCCCTTTTGATATATGCGCATTTCAGACCATAACTTTCTGGATTATTGCCTCTGATTGAACAAAAAATCCTGTTTGTTTTTAGCTTGTTCTGTGTCCATATCTTGCAAAATGTGGGCGTATCCTGTCTGGCAGCCGCTGGTTTTAAACTGGTTCATCTTGGTCGGTT